CACAGTGCACATCGAATAAAACTTTAACTCTATAAAAATAAGAACTATTTTCATACATGTCAAAATTATAATAACTATCCAAAGCAATCACCCGTTCTAATTAGACTAGGAAATGGAAAATTCGTCTGAATTTCATAGTTTCCTCATGCAATAAGGTGGAATATTGTGTGGCAGGATGATTGCAATTTCCGTCGCTAGATGGCGACACGTTTTCACGGATGCATTCTGATATTGAAGGAGGTACGTGATCGCAATAAAGTTGGTGCTTTCCATATCTTGAAAGAATTTTGGTATTTTTAGTTTTAAAATTGAAAATGGCGAATGCAATCTATATCTGCATTGTCTCAAACATAAGAAGCCGGATTATTCATCTTCATTATCAGCCGGAAGACTTCCAGACGCCCACTACTGGACAAAGGCCTCCCCCTCATTCGTAATTGCGCGGTTGGCGCGGTGGCCGGGCAACTAGTCGCGGGTTCCATTCCCGTACGGAACATCTCTTTATGTGATCCACAGATTGTTGTTCCAAATTTGTATATTTGTAAACACACCCACGACACAGAAGAAAACCATAGTGAGGGGCTACGTTTAAAAAAAACAAAAACAATTATAAGTTTGAAATCGCCAATCCGCCTTGAGCAAGCGTGGTGATTAATGCTCAAACTTTCTCCGTGTGAGAAGAGGCCTTTGTTTAGTAGTAGCCACTTATAGGCTGATGACTTAATGTGTTGGATGACGGAATTATGGGGATAAGGCGTTTTGGGGATTCAAAGATACCCTTCCCTGGTAAGGTTAGGGTCTCCCGTATCCACACTAATTGTTAATTCTTAAGCTAAAATTTCCTTTACTTTCTCGAAATATTAAATTTTACATCGGTTACTTAAATAGCAATTGAACTGAATTGAATAGCAATTTTAAGCGTGGGAGAGCCATGCTTCGGCACGAATTGGTCGGCTCGACCGGAGTGATACCACGGCCTCACAGAATACCGGCGTGAAACAACCCACAGCGTTGTTTTTCGCCGTGTGAGGTTACCGGAAGTCCAATCCTTCCCGAATCCCTAAATCCCCAAATCTCTAATCCCCTATAGGTGGGCAACGCACTCGTAACTCCTTTGGTGTTGCGGGTGTCCATGGGCGGCGCCGATTGCTTACCATCAGGTAATCCGTATGCTCGTTTGCCGACTTATACCATAAAAAAAGAACATTAGCAACAGTAAACACAAGCTAAAAGTTGTTGAAAACGACTTTACGAGAGCTAAACGGTATATCGTAAAAATCCCATATAGCGATGTTTACAGTCTGGTGAAGTTAGTCCACCACAGGACGGGATTAAGTTACACTGTGACCAAGGATTTAATGGCGAACGACATTCTGTAAGGAGCTTGTAAACGCAACAAAATAAGACCAATTACTTGATAAAATAATGTTTTCTTATTAATCTATACTAAGATTATAAAGCTGGATAGTTTCTTTGTTCATTGGAACGCGCTAATCGGCAAAACTACCGGTTCGAATTTTATAATTATTTTAATCGACTTCCAAAAAGGAGGTAGGATCTCAATTCGACCTTATACATGCTTTTTATGTTTGTTCGCCGATATCTCCGTTATTTATGAACCGATTTTGATAATTAGCATAGAGGGCAACTGAGCAGACAGAGTTTATAATGTGGGAAAACCAAGCTTGCATGAATGGATCGGCTTGTCCAGAGCCAAGGCCTCATATAAAACCGGCGTAAAACAACAACAGCGTTGCGTTTCGCCGTGTGAGTGAGGTTATCGGAGTCGTAATACTTCCCTTTCTTCCATCGCTCCTCAATCCCCAAATCATTGGAACCCTAAACCTTAAAAGATTTGCAGGTGTCCATGAGTTACACCGATTGCTTACCATCAGGTATTGCAAATGCTCGTTGGTTCACTTAAAAAAACCTGATGGTAAGCAATCAGCGGAGCCCATAATACCAAAGGAGTTACTACAGTTGCGTTGCCGGCCTCTTGTGGGTTATTGGGGATTTAAGGATAAGGGATTTGAGGATTAGAGGGAATGATTGGGCCTTCGGTGACCACACTCACACAACGCTGTGGTTGATTCACACCAGTTTTCTGTAAGGCCGTGGTACCACTCCGGTTGAGGTGGCCTATTTGTGCCGAAGCATGGTTCTCTCACACTTAAATAGTGAAATTAAAATCAATGGTGATAATTATAACGTAAGCTAATTATGTATAAAATTGACGTCTAAGTGAATCAGCGTCTGCATAGCAACCGGCGCAGTGCACCTCTTGTCTTCAGGACGGATGTTCAGTTCGCTTGCTCGCGTGTGCAGTGTGGCCATTAAAGCAGCGAGTTAATAGTAGGAGAATAATTATAATGATTTGTTTTTTTTTATTTTGTTAAAACCAGTACCGTATTCTTTCAATATATACATTTTATAATAATAGTAATTCAAAATTATTTTATGATGGCAAGCTGAATTAAGTTGGTCTGGTCATGAACACCCCATATCAACACAATAAATAAAAATATTTTTAGTACGTCAACAGGTGTGATCAATAATATCAAGTATTATCATTAAAATATTGTTTTCCTTCAGTATTCAATATTTCTTAAAGGTAAAAGTTTGTCTAACCTTAAAGGCACGAGCTTCTTATTAAAACCGATTAAAAGTACACATACTTAAATTAGTACCAATCATCATTATAAACCTTGCCCGCTGTGTGCTGAACACGGACGGATTAGTGATATCAAAGTTATAATACCGAAGTTTAGGTTTTACTCGTTCAGCTTATAATTTGTACCACACAACACAAATACCTATTACGTACAGGCGAGCGAGCGGATGTTGTTCTGTTCGCTGGTTGCGTGCGCACCGCGGTATTAGGCCACGAAACCAGCGGATTTTGCTAATAGGTACTTTAATTTTGTATGAAAAATAATTTGTTACATTTGTTGATTGATTATAATAATTAAAAACTGGATGGTACTATGAATATGGAGTGTATAAACGTTTTGAATAATTATATTTTATTTTTAATTGTGTGGCGTTATCTCTTCATTTGAGATTGTAAAAAGATTTTTATTTTTTGTTCTATATAATATGTATACTGAATATACTTTTATCCAACCAGTGTGATAATTACAGTTTGGTGTTTTAATGATAATCATAATGGATTTTTTACTTTTGCCATCCTCGATAGATATGGTAATAATGAAAGGTTTCTTATTTCTTCTGATCCTTTGAAATGGTTCCTTCTGTTTGCTTTGATAAAACTAAAGAAAACAATTACGAACTGTAAATACTATAAGTTATTCCAAACACATTTAGATACTCTACGAAGTATGATAACAATCGATCGATAGATGGCGTTGTTATAAATATGTTTTATAATATTAACCAAAAAATTTAACAAAGTACATAGTTGCTCTAGCATAGTAACTCAGAGCACCGAATGCACTGGATCGATGCAGCGGCTGCGCACTGCGCGGGTCGATGCACCCGCGATCGTGACGTAACACGCACAACCACTACCCAGCACTACAGCAGAAGTACCATTTGAAATGAAACGTGAAAAATGAGACAGAAATTACGGACTTGTTTTTAAGTATTTTTTATGTGCTTGCAGCTACGTATGCAGTGCCAAATGTACGAAAATTATCCGTGTTATTTATCAAATTTATTGTATTAATAGTAGACGAAAATTAAACACCATAAGGTTTTTAATTTAATTGATGTTTTTAAGAAATAAAGACATGATTGTCAAGACCTATTCTTTTATATTTTTTTATGTGGGCATTATATAACGGGCAATTTATTTTCGATTTAGCATCGGACGTGGTGTAAAAACGCTCCAGCACTTCCAAAAACGAATTCGCTATTCTTTTTTTAAAGTAAACGGAAGACGTTCCTGATTTAAAACTTATTTTTAATCTAACCAGCAAACCATACGATATAAAACCTTATTGGTCCTTCGGTTTTGTAAGTTATTAAGTGTCCATCCTAATGTTTTACTAGGTTTGGATCGAGGAATGTTCTGTTTCACTGCCGTTCTGATGAAGTTATGGAACTATCTGATGGGGTTATTTAAATCTCCATTGCGGTTACCATAATACACTTGCCCATGCAATGTAGTCATTCTATCTTTCGTTTGCGATGTAATATTTAATTTAGTTTGATTTAGACGAAATCTATAGATATTAATATTATAAAGAGGTAAAATTTGTAAGTTTGTATGTAGGGGGTAATCTTTGGAACCGCTCGCACAGGTCGGATTTCCAATATTCTTCCACTGATAGATAGCTACAATGTTCCTGAGTGCTATAGGTTCTACAACATCACGCTACGATCAAATGGATCTGAGCAGCGGGTAAAACCGCGCAAGAGTAGTTATTTATAAAGTACCTACTATGCGTCAAAACTATACATTGTGTTAATATGGCAACATATTTAATGATTTTGATTATCAAATTATTAATTATGATATATTTAGTAACCTCTGGTAAGACTAAACAATCACTTTACACTCCGGTAAATTCCAAATACCCAAATTCAATACATTTATTTTTTAATGAAATATCGAAAACGATTCTTTTCTATGACTTTTCTACCTCTGAAATCGCAATATTCGTCATAATGTTTTTACATCAAATGGCTTAAAATCAAACCAACCTATTAGTACCTACCTATATTTTGAACAACGAAATTCAAAATAATATTTTTTTCGATCCGTTCTCCAACTGTATTTAAATCTTTTTCGTTTAAAACAATTTTAATGATCATTATGAACTCTCTAAATACCCATTGCTTAGTTAAAATGTATAAATTATAATAATATAATGTATTTGACACTTGTGATGAACGCTATGGGTGTAAAAAATAATATTTAATTTTGTTATAATTAATGTAATATTTTCTCCGTGCACCCTTTAATGAACATGTAATACATTCCCATTTTTTCTTTCCATCCCTTTCTTACATCCCTTTCCTATCTCTCTCCCACTCACCTCCTGTTGTCGAGGTAGCTGTCATATTCGTCAGGAGTGTTTTTCTCGTCGTGCATCTCGTACAGGTCACTGTATATCGCAGACTCTAGTCGAGATGGATCCAAGTGGTAGTTCGGATTCTCGTACGAGAGTAGACCATTCTCTGTGGACAATGTAATATAGATAAAATTAATATTATGAAAAGAAAAGACATTAGGAAAGGATATTTTTGTCCCATATAACGTTAAGACCAAAAGTGTAAAGCACTCTTCTCACACGGAGAAGGTTTGAGCATTGTAGCGGCACTATCACGTCGCTACATTACTTAGATACGATAGAGATAAGACATACATGTTAATTGTTGCACGTTTGTTAGGATAGCTAAATCTGAAAATCTCACGCATCTTCTTAGTATATAAGCACCAGCAATTAAAGTAATAAACAGACCTTAACCATCTACAGTCTCATTATTTACCTTGCCACGAAGTCTGGCAAATTGGTGACCCCGACGAAGAACAATCAACATGACTCATTCACCCCGAGCTCAACAAATGCTCACATGTATTCGTGCGCTGTGACAGAATAAGGAAAAGTTTAACACCACCATACGAAGGACCATTTCTAGTGACAAAGAGGATAGATAAGACGTTTATCATTAAAATTGGGGACAATGAAAAAGCAATATCTATAGACCGATTAAAACCTGCATTTGTCTTCAATAGTGGAACGAACGTGCCAAATTCAGAAAATAATCACAACGGGCGGAACACGTACATCACGAAGTCAGGACGGGCGGTTAAGCCGACAGTACGATTCGTCACTTGCTGACACAAGTAATCAGTCCATTTAAATACTCACCGTATTTTGAAAATACCATCATATACCGTCAGTATCTACGAGAGAACAATGGGCAACCAAAGCTCCAAAGATCAAATCGTATATAACTCCGACAGTTGCCTTAATCAAAATGAAGCCGACCATCTCAAAAGTCTTGTCCTGGAAGAGCTACGGTGGACAAGAAACATTGCAATTGGACAAATCCTCATCACAATTGGCATCCTTCTTCTCTACGGAATACTGAAGACCTTAGACAGAAGAGTGAAAACAATAGCAAGAAACAATCAGCACAAATGCAGTGGATAGTTCATCGACTGCCGCCGCCGTCACAACAAAGGCAGCAGTTTTTATTTCCTTCGAATTAGCAACAATGACATTACATTACGCATAGGATGTAATTTATCAGCAAGGTTAAGTTATTATATAATTAGGTACATACTAATTTTTTTCAATTTATATGTTAATTATTTTTAAAAGGGGGGAGTATATGTAGCGGCACTATCACGTCGCTACATTACTTAGATACGATAGAGATAAGACATACATGTTAATTGTTGCACGTTTGTTAGGATAGCTAAATCTGAAAATCTCACGCATCTTCTTAGTATATAAGCACCAGCAATTAAAGTAATAAACAGACCTTAACCATCTACAGTCTCATTATTTACCTTGCCACGAAGTCTGGCAAAAGCATTAATCACCACGTATGCTCAAGGCGGATTCGCGATTTCAAATTTATAAGTCCAAGTTACTGCATGATGTTTTCCTTCACCCGTACTTGCCAGGTTTCGAATGCATAAGGGTATGGCATGAGAAACAGGTGCCGTAACCTCTGGGCGACGAAGACATTATTATTTTGTTGATATTTCAGTGCTAATAATTATTTCTGTCGTTTATTTTATTTTTTTAAATTTAAGAAGCGAATCAAAGTACGTTAAACCAACGACCTAAGGCCGTTCCATTTTTGGTATCCAATAAAATTATCGGATTCATTTTTAAAATAAAAATCGATCCATCACACATTTTCAATTTTCTCTAAAAACTTTTCAGAATTTGGATTCTTATTCTTTCATTCTATAATTTAAAAAAAAAACTTTGGGTTCGAGAGATGTAAGGACCATTACAATACGTTGACTGTCTGGCAGTCTAGTCTAGAATCTAGATTATTTTAGCTTGTATCATTGTTTCATTGTTACATTTGAACAAACATGAGACATTATAGTCTGCAGCTGGAAAATAAAAAAGAAAAGATTATATAATTTAAATTTCGAATATAGAAGATGGGATAGTGTTTTTTTTGTACCTATTTAAAGTTTTTTATGTTTTGAATTTTTTTTCGTAATTTGGTAATATGATCATAATATGATTAGCCATTTTGAGGAAATTCGATAACGTTATTTTTTTACAACTATAAAATTTGTTTATTTTTTAAGTACAGATTTTTAATAACAACTAGTTTTTTAATAATAATTTTCTAATCTATACTAATAATATAAAGATGTAAAATTTGTAAGTTTATAAGCAGGAGGTAATCTTCAGAACCGCCAGTCGGATTTCCAAAAATGTTGCTCAGTGCTTTAGACTAAAACATTACGCTGCGGCAAAATGGAGCCGAGCTGTAGAAAATAAAAATAAAGAAACACGATTAAAATTACTAATTAAAAAGCAGTGTGTCATCTTGAAACAATGTTATTCAAGTCGGAGTTCACGCACTTGGCAGGCCTCATCGTAACCAGAGCTGAAGCCGTAACAATTGTTGCCTCTCCCCCCCAGTTCTCCCCCCAATACGAACATGGCGGTCTATACACGATGTAATTGCTGTCATCATGTTTATTATGGATTGAATTGTGTAACAAATGGAATATCTTGTAAGAGGGGTGGATTAAATATCTACATGGTATTTACTTCGCTGTCTGATTATTGAATTCTTGATATAGATATCTAAGCATGCAACAAAAAAATCAAGCTAAGTGTGAGAGAGCCAAGATTCGGCACGAATGGGTCGGCTCGAAAGGAGTGATAACCACGGCCTCACGGAAAACCGACGTGAAACTACCACAGCGTGTTTCGTCGTGTGAGTAAGGTTACCGGAGGTCCAATCCTTCCCCTTATCCAATCCCCAAAAAGGTCGGCACGGCACTCGTTACTCCTCCGTTGTTGTGTTCACGGGCGGCGCTGATTTTTTACCATCAGGTAATCTGTATGCTCGTTTGCCGATCTATCACATAAGAAAATGATGCTAACTGTGTAGCGTTTCATAGTAGATATGTAATGGTTTTTTTAAAGTATGGTTTTGAAATATGTTGGTTTTTATGAACGTTTAAGTGCAGTGGTTTATATGTATACTAGCGGCCCGCCCCCGCTTCGCACGGGTCTATCTCGCTATCAAAGGGTCACCTTTTCCTAATCTTCCCCTTTACTTTTCTAATATTTTCTTTGATAAGAACCTTCTCCTGACAATAACAAACACAACAAAAAAATAATTTGCAAAATTGGTCCAGGCGTTGTCGAGTTATGCGCTTACCAACACAGTTTGCGGTCCATTTTTATATATAAGATTACCACTGACAGGCACTCCCAAAATCTCCAAAAGGTCGGCAACGCACTCTTTTGTTGTTGCATGTGCGGCGCTGATTGCTTGCCATCAGGTGTAATTCGAGTGCTCGTTTACCGTTTTATAATATAAAAAAATGTGTTCTACCACCGCAAGCATTATATATCTAACCTAACAATATCTTAAAGCATGTAAGTGAATCTCAACGATAGTTAAGTTGAGCGCCTGACCTATTTACTTAGTTCAATCCCGAAGACAATTAGTAAACTTCGCTTAACTATGGAGAATTTGCCTTCAGGGGATTACGAAGGAGTTTGATGCTGTTTATATCATGCAAGCCCTACCAATTCAAAAATTGTTTATAAGATTACTCTGTAATACCTATGTAGTAATGGTTATACATATATATCTGTAATTCTTGAAGCAATAAATTTATTATGTGTGTTCTTTTCCACTCACGGGACCACAGGGTCCCGGACTTTTGGAAGGCGTACGAGGGGCCGAAGCCAACTCGCAGAGGCCCTTTGAACAACTTTAATATAAGTGAGATGGGACATCAGCCGGCAATTATCAATGACAATCCCCGGTTGATGCAGAACTATTGCGAAATGTGGTAAAAATTTATAGGGTTATGGGTATGGGTTGCTATGGACTGGTGGATATGTTAACTATGGAAATACTATGGCCCCTGCCCCTGACCAATATTGATACATACGGATAAACAGGCAGGGGGTGACTGGCAAACTCAATTAATGGGCCCCCGGAAACGGCCGCTAGCATGTAGCGACACGGGGGCAACATACGTTGAGCTGCTTGGGGAAGGAGAGGCATCCCACGGCTATCAGAGCAATCCCGGAAGTACGGTCAAGACCCCTACCAGCATCTTACTGAGATACATCCTTCCCCCGAGTCTCGTTCAACTCCTACTCTTGCGAATCTCCACTCAAGCCAGCCAATTAAGGCAAGAATGAGGTGGGAGTGCTTGTTCCTCATCAGTGTTCACTCCAGCTCGTCACGAGGACTAACCGGAGAGAGAAGAACAAGACACCTCCCGGGAGTCAGGTCCGTGGGGTCGCCACTGCCCAACAGCTCGCCACAAGCTGCCTTGCGGATCAATAAATTTATTTATTATTATTATTTATTATATCGCTTTAAAGTTGGAAACCTTGTGGTTGAGTTGATGTAAATTTAGGTCTTATTTTTTTGTGGGGGGAAATCATCAAATGAGGCGAGAGGTAGTGTCAGACTCTTACTGATTAATAAACACCCCCGTTCCTTCTCCTGTTCTAGGCCAAGGCCGCGGTGCATCATTGCGCTTACCCCGCAACCTCGGTTGGACATCAGCCCTGTAGGACCCCTGCCAAAAGCCCTGTACGCCATGTTTGTGTTGGTTGGTGTGTTTGATGCGGTTTTTTATTATTACAGAGTGATTGAAGTGGTGAACTCATATGTATAATAACTTCCATTAAATAGTTGAGGAATTTAGTAATAGAATTGCATATGCGCGAAGTCGGGGCGGGTCGCTATTAATTATTATGTTCAAAACTACTAGCTTTTGCGTACTAGCCGTTCGCGTGGAATAGTGAATTCCTGAAGAATTTTGGTAAAAAAAAACTATCCCTTGTCCTTTCTCGAGTTCCAAACTATGTCTGTACTTAACAAATTTCACAGAAATCGGTTCAGTAGTTTAGGCGTGAAGAATAGACAGATAGACAGAGTTACTTTCGCATTTATAATATGTATTAAGTAGTTTGGATTACAACCAGGTCTGA